GGCATCTCTTGGGAAACCTTGAGAAAAATCAGGATAATTGTTAAGTCTTGGATGAAGTATTCTGTGAGGCTGGATCATCTCAGCCAGCAGCCTTGAAGCTCTTCTGGATGCTGAATCACTTGGGGCATCCTTTTTTTTTTTTTTTTTTTTGGCCCCCTTGCTCTGAAAATACATAAACTTCTAAAGGTAACATACTTATTTTATTAATACAGGTATAGACTGTGCATTTATTGTACATAAGATAGCCAAAGATGATTGTTTGTCATGTGTTTGAATGGGTAAAATATACATTGCATGTCTTGTAGTTTTTCCAGGTTTATTGTTTTTTATGTTGTAGCCAGGATTTTCAGGGGGTCTTTGCTGACCAAACCTGATCCATATTAACCTGGAATGAATCTACAGCCTTTCATTTCCTGAGGAAATAAAAGCATAACCTCTTTCCCAAAGTAACATATCTTTTGACTTCCATTTTGAAATCAAGACGTTTAAAAAATATAGAGGTCAGTTTAATCCAGCAGTTTTCATAATCCAATGTTTTAGCAGCTTTTGTTCCTTCATTAGCAATCAGAAAATCTAATGACAACACAATAATATACAGACTCCCGACTCTGTGTATTTCCCATCTTTACATGGCTTATCATATTTTCTTTAACTGTATTCCTTTTTTTAAAGAACTTTATTATTTTTTAAATATATATATTTATGACTTTTTCTTTCCCTTCCCAAGCTTTTGTACATTTTTAAACACACTGTAACCCATTTCGAGGTTTTTATCCTCTGAATCTGTCTTTACTGAGCATCTGTATGACCAAAACCCCAAACCCACCATACAGTGTTCTGGTGGAGCTCATGCTGGCAGCTCAAGCCTGCTGGTAGTGGTTGGGAAACCCGTCTCTGTATCCTGGCCTCTGAGAGAGACTGCTGGAACCTGCCATGAGGATTAGCTCATGGCATGCTGCAGCTTCCAGGAGATGTGTCTCTGTACTGTGGCCAGCATGAGAGACACAAGACTAGGAGGCCTTATTTAGTTCCATTTTTGTGTGCTTAGAATCTTTTTTAAAGCTTTCTCAGGTCTTATGTGGATGTATGTGTCCCATATAGGGTACCATTTGTAGGCAGAGTTTCTGTGCCTCAGCAGTCACTTCCAAATAACAATGCATAGACTTATTAATTATAAATGCTTGACTGATAGCTCAGGCTTGTTATTAGCTAACTGTTACATTTTAAATTAACCCATATTTCTTATATATCCTCTGCCATGTGGCAGTACCTTTCAACACAACACATTCATCTTGCTTCTCTCTGAGTCTCTCGAGACTACTGAGATTCTGACCTTCTTTCCTGCGTACTCTGTGTCTTGTCCCACCTATACCTCCTACCTAGCTACCTGCCAGTCAGCTCTTTTATTAAACCAGTCAGCGGGTGCTTTAGCAAAGACATGTCTTCACAGTGTACAAAAAGATTATTCCACGACAATACTATAAAAAGACATACTATTGACCTGAGAAATAAACATTTCCTTACATGTAATAAGCAACAATATGAAGTTTTAGATAATAGTTTTGAGAAAGGTTCACCAATAGGAAGATCAATTTCACTATGTAAGTACTTAAACTTTGCTATTGTACGAAAGCAACTTGCATGTGGGGGTTCGCTCAGTGGTGTGTAGAGCATCCCCTAAAAGGCTCTGACTTCATCCCTAGCACTGCAAATAAATAAATATACATACGTAAAAATTTAAAGACAGAAACAGTCAAGAAAATGTTGTAACAATATAATAGCTGATATCTTTAAACATTGTCCTGCTTATTTAATTTTTAATTTTATTTATTTATTTTGTACATGGAGAGGGAGAGAGGGAGGGAAGGAGGGAAGGAAGGAGAGAATGTGTACATTCCAGGTGAGTGTGTGGAGGCTGGAGGCCAATCTCCAGGACTCTTCTCACCTGCCACCTTGATGAGGCTGTCTTGTTTCTGCTACATTGCTACACACTCCAAGCAGTAGTTCTAGAGTGCCCTCCTGTCTCTGCCTCCCATCGTGACATACCAACGTTGGGATTTCTTACATCTGTAACCACAGCCTGTCATTTTACATGACTTCTGGAGATCAAATGGGTCATTAGGCTGGTGCTGGCTATCTGATCCCATCTCCTAGCACCTGTGTGATTTTGATTTGTAAAAATAAGTAATACTCTAGTGAATGGTAGGAAAATAAATTATAAAAAAGAAACAAACGACCCGGGCGTTGGTGGTGCACGCCTTTAATCCCAGCACTCAGGAGGCAGAGGCAGGCGGATGTCTGTGAGTTCGAGGCCAGCCTGGTCTCCAGAGCGAGTGCCAAAATAGGCTCCAAAGCTACACAGAGAGAAACCCTGTCTCGAAAACAAACAAACAAACAAACAAAAAACAACAACAACAAAAAACCCCAACCAACCAACCAATCAATCAGCCTCCCTGGTAATTTAACACAGAATACTGTAGCAGTTCAGAAATTTGTTGTTTGACACGGAGTCTTACTGTGTAGCTGAGGCTAGCCTGCAACTTGAGATCCTTCTGTTTCATCCTTCTGAGTGCTGTTTGTAATCATAAAATTGGTATAACATAAAGTAAAATAATACCCATTCCTTGGAAGGGCAAGAGAAGGGAAGCAGTTATACTTACATTGCTGATGGAAATGTAATTTTAGAAGTATAATTTGTATAAAATAAGCCTATGTACAGTTTTGGGGTTTTTTTTGTTTGTTTTGTTTTTTTTTTTTTTTTTTTTTTTTTTTTTTGGTTTTTCGAGACAGGGTTCCTCTGTGGCTTTGGAGGCTGTCCTGGAACTAGCTCTTGTAGGCCAAGCTGGCCTGAAACTCACAGAGATCTGCCTGCCTCTGCCTCCCGAGTGCTGGGATTAAAGGCGTGCACCACCAACGCCTGGGTCGTTTGTTAATTTTTACAGATTAAATATACAATGAGCATTTAGGTCAATAAGCAGGTCATTGGCACTCTGTGCTCTTTCAGTAACTAACACAGAAAGTAAAATCCTGACTGACTCTGTGTGTGTGTGTGTGTGTATGATGGCCAGACCATGTAAAAGATTGTGGCAAAAGGAAGAATTCCTGCTGTAAAGTTGTCAAGTAGAAAAAGAAAGGAACAGCCCTCTGTCTTCTGTATCCCCCTAGACATGACAATTATTTAAATATGCATAAGGAAATACATAGAAAAACTAACTGTATTAATATGCTGTATATGTGAGGGGCACAGTAAAGAAACCACTGAAATGGCTGCTCCTTTAGTGGGAAGGTTTTGATTGTAGATAAGAGAGAACAGCCAGAGGCATCTGGAAGAGTCCAGAGCAGAAAGAAAAATAAATAGACTGGACATGGCTAGGGCTGTCTGTGAGAGAAGGGAAAGAATAGTGGAGATACAGTGTGTGTGGGAACCTTGCCAGTTAGAGATGAGAAAGAAGGGCTAGGATGCTAGGAAGCTAGGCTGGGGCCTCTGAATGTATAAGGGATACTTGTGGATAGGGATTGTAGGAGCCTGGAAACTAAGATGGGCTTTGATATGCAACCACAGGCATGTGTCAACTCTCACGTCTCTTCTGCCAAAGGCAAGGGAAGGGACTCCTTTTGGCAAAGGAAAAGTTCCTGAAGAATGCTGGCTTTTATCTTACCACCAGAAATCCTTTTATACTCCAGCTTGAGGTGGTTGGTCTGGGCATGTGTACTGCATTTGGTGTTTGGGGAATTGGAGTTTCCTTTGGACCTGGCACTGTACGGTTATGAATTACATATTTTTTCCTTTTGTTGTACCTCTAGAATTTTGTTGTGTTTTATTATTGTTATGCATTCTTAAAAGTGTGTGTGTACTGCCAGAGATACTAGTAAACAAGGAAGACCCTAAAAGAGACAAACTTTGTCTCCTGGAGGAGGGAAAGGGTCACCATCCCCTGAGCAAATTGAGAACATGGGAAGAGCGGGGAGGAAAGAGTGAGAAGGGAAGAAAAGGAAGGATGCAGAGGTCATGAGAGAGCAGAAATTTTGATTCAGGTGTAGATTAGAAGAAAGGACATAGGACAGGTAGGATTTTAGTGGGGGCGGGTGGTAGAGGAGGAAGGGAGGGAGAAGGGAACTGGGATCATCATGTAATTCAATCTTGTTTTTAATTCAAATGTGTGTGTGTGTGTGTGTGTGTGTGTGTGTGTGTGTGTGTGTGTGTGTGTGTGTAGGTCAGAGAACAGTGGACAGCTTTTTAGGAATGTGTTTTTTGTTTTGTTTTGTTTTGTTTTTTGAGGCAAGGTTTCTCTGTGTAACAGCCCTGGCTATCCTGGAACTCACTCTGTAGACTAGGCTGGCCTCGAATTCACAGAGATCCACCTGAGTCCTGCCTTTGCTTCCCAAGCGCTTAGATCAAAGGTGTGAGCCCCCACTGCCTGGATCAATTTATTTTTTGAGGCAAGATCTTCTTTGTTGTTTCTGCCGCTGTGCTGCATACTCTAGGCTAGCCCACCATGGAGTGGCTCCTCACCTCCTTCCTGGAGTGCAGGGCTGGGGTTAGACACAGGAGCCGCTGCATACGGCCTTTCCACATGGGTTCTGGTTATCAGGGTTGCCTGGCAAACACAATTACTGCTGCGACATCTCACCAGCATTTTGTTGTTGTAGTGCTTTGCTTGCATGTATATCTGTGTGAATTGTTGGATATCCCAGAACTAGAGTCACAGACAGTTGTGAGCTGCCATATGGGTGCTCTGGCACTCTAGAAGAGCAGCCAGTGCCGTTAACTGCTGAGCCATCTCTCCAGTGGAGACATCTCACCAGCATTTGTAAAAGCATGAAAGATTTTGTATTTGTATCTTTGAAAATCTTTGAAATTGAGCTGGGTGTTGGCCCACACCTTTAATCCTAGTATTTGGGAGGCAAAGTCAGGTGGATCTCTGAGTTTGAGGCCAGTTTAGTCTACAGAGTGACTTCCAGGACAGCCAGGCCTACACAGAGAAACACTGTCTCAAAAAACACACAAACAAACACTCTTTGAAATCAAATATTTTTGATCTTCCCATGGTGGATATGATGTGATTTACCAAGGGCAGATAGCAGTGTCTTCAGCTATCTAAGGAGTTAGGTTTTTTAGTGTTACTCTTCATGTGTTTGAACCAAAAGGGACTATAGAGGGAAGTTTTATCCATGCTTTAGGATGTGAAGCGATCTGGAGAAGTGAAGCAAGCAGGCTTCTGGCTTCTTCTGGTGGTGTCTGAATCTTCTCCCATCATTTAATCTGTGACTTTTTAGCACCTGAGTGGCTTTTGTGACTAATAATTTAACTAATCTTTGTTGTAAAAATAAAGTCTTTGGGGGAAAAAAAACCTAAGTTTGTTTCTTGTCGTTCTTCCAAATGCATAGACCACACGGGTAATTTATTATGAACAGCAGCTCTGGTATGAGTAATGGGGTCTTTTGCCTAGTTAAGAGCAAACTTTGGACTCACTATTGGTGGCACTAAGGTTTACCTCTGGCCTTTATAAATGCTTACCATCCGTGCTTTTGTCCCTACATGTACAGTGATACTAAGTATGTACTTCACTGAGTTGTTAAGGATTAAATGAATTCATGTGGGTAGAGTGTCAGGCACATAAGATAATTAGTATTGAAGTTTTAAATACCTGGAAGAGCCATCACCTCCCTGCCTGCAACCTCCCACCCTCCCACCAGCCCCTACACCTGGATACTGAGAAAATTGAATTCAAGAAATCTTTAAGCGACTGGAGAGATGACTCAGTGGTTAAGAGCACTGGCTGTTCTTTTAGAGGTCCTGGCTTCGTTTCCCAGTAACCACATGGTGGCTAATATCTATCTCTAGTGCTAATATCTCAACTCTCTCTTCTGGTCTCCTTGGGTATGTGAGACACAGGAGTGGTAAATCTATGTGCAAACACTCGTACACATAAAATATATAGTCCTAAAAGAAATCTTCAATTATATGTGTTAAAGACATCTCTCCATTCCCCAACTATATGTCTTAAAGCATTTTTTTATTTGAAGCATTGTGTATTTGTGTTTTTCACAGGTCACACGGGTAATTTATTATGAACAGTTTTAAACTAGCCATCTTACTACAGTAGTACCACATCATGTGCATCTGTGGACTGAGAGGCAGCCTTCATGGTGAGTTTCTGAATTTTGAGAGAAGGATGCTAGCTTGATGTGAGTAAGACAGACGTTGTGCTGATCACCTAAGTGACAGTGTTGTGAAAAGTGGGGCAGGATAGATGTCAAGAGGCAGCTCCTAGAAAGGCTGCCTGCTGCTGGAGCAGAGTATCTAGGTCAGGGTGGTGATAAGCTTGATTCAAACAGACACAGTGGTAAGAAGGATCCAGAGAATAGTAGATGAAGATGCCACTGTCCTTTAAACACACCACCAGGATTCTGGTATTTGCATATTTTCTAACCTCAGATGCTAGCCACTGAACTCACATAATAAATTTAACTAAGACTAAATAATTTACAAGTTTAAAAAATACGACAATGATTTGGTGAAATTTAAAAGATGGAAAAATGAAGTTTAATCCAGTGTACTATGGAAGTTTATGGAAATAAATCTGAGGTTATATTTCTTTGTGGTTGTTAAAAACAGATAATTTTATATCTGTACACTATCTCTAATCTAGTTTGTGTTTGTGGCTACTTGGGGATTGTGCAAAATTTGACTAGTTTTAATTGAGAAAAATAGGAGTATTTTTGCAATGCTGATTTGTTTTCCAATAGTAAACCTTTAAGACTTATTTAACAATAGAACATTGTGGCTGAAGGGTGTGATGAGCAGAGCTGATGGCCTCAAGAGAGCTGTGAAGCAGATGATAGGGTAGGTCAAAGGCAAGCCCCAGGGTCTCACCTCCTCTTACTAGGCCTCAGCTCTTATGACTACTGTGTGCAATGGAGGAATAGCTCCACTAATGGGTTAATCTAGAGCCCTCAGGGTTCAGATGCTTCCAGAAAGTCATCATCTGGCTACCAAGCCTTCATTGCACGAGCATTTTCAGAGTCTACTTTATATGTAGCCCATTTCTTCCCAACTCTCCTGCTAAGCCAGGCTCAGACCCAGGTCCAGGCTTGTGACTTAGACTCCTCCACGACACCTTTGATACCACTCTATTCTGAGTTTAGGTTGATAATATGTGCATAAGAATTCTCTAGAGGATGTGTGGAAGTGGAAGCTGTATGAAATTAACTATGAATGAATGTTTTGGTTTGATTTTTTTTTTTTTTTTTTTTTTTTTTGTTTTTGGAGTTTTTTGTTTGGTGTTACATTGGCACCAGGGGAACTGAATTTGTACCCACTAGGACACCAGCTTTCTGTCCCAGCAATGTCAAAGTATTACCCACAGACACTATCTTTTAGCTTTATTTGCCCTGTGGTTTTTTTTTTTTTTTTTTTTTTTTTTTTTTTCTTCCCTCTTTGAGAACTGGATAACAAGTTTGACTCACACACATACACAACATGCATTTTTTTTTTTTTTTTTTTGTATTGTTCTGTCAAGGCACACTCTAGCCCAGACTAACCTGGAAATTATTATAGCATAAGCTGGTCTGGAACTCACAACAGCCCTATTACCTTCAACTTCCCTAGTGCTGGGATTTTCAGGCATGAACCATCAAGTCCAACTGGAGCACAATTTGTTTTAGTGTGAGGAACAAGCCCAGGGTTTCTGCTTGCTAGGCAAACACTTGGCCACTGAGTGGACTCCTGTGATCTACTTTGCTAACAATCTCTATTTTGTGTACTTGCACACCAGTATATCCCCCCCTGCCCCCCAGGTTTCTCTATGTAGCCTTGGCTGTACTGGAACTCTATTTGTAGACCAGGCTGGCCTTGGAACTCACAGAAATCTGCCTGCGTTTGCGTCCGGAGTGCTGGTCAAAGGTGTGCACAACCATTGCCCAGGTGTTTATTTTTCTAAGAATAGGAACTTAAGGTATAAGATAATGATAAGGAGAATGAGCTGGACTTCTGGGAAAATTTACTTTTTTGAGAGAGGAAAGATCAACCTGGTATCTTTCATAACAAATCTATTCAGATAAGAGCATTAGTAGTGTTATGTGATTAAATAATTCTTCTGTACTATAGGTTATAAAGATACAGTGTGTCCCTGCTGGTGTGTTCACAAAGGCAGTCTAGCAAGGGAAAATTAAAAAGCTTACATTCTCATATTCATTTCTAAGGGAATAAAGAGGGAGAATTCATTATGTCAAGCATTACAAATAAGCACGTACTAAAGCAGCTACGTATGATGATGGCATATTGTTGAACACCCCAAGAAAGATAATTTGCATGGAAGATGATTATTCAGTAGGGCTTTAATTTACAAGAAACATTCTACCATTTAATTGAACCCTTTTATACACACTGCTTCGCTTCAGTGGATGGCATTTGCTGCCTGCATATGTACAGTGCCATAAGGGTGGTTAAAATTCAATTCAGTCTAGCTGGAAGGTAAAACAGCAGCTGAATGTCATGTCATAAAAGTATACATTATTAAACATCCCAAGATTGGTTTTGGAATCAGTTTTCTGTTGGCTGGTTTGTACTGTAAAGCTGATGGTCTGATCTTTTTTTTAAATAAGATTTTTATATAAGATTATTAGCTCTTTTGGCCACTAGTTAAATTATATGGTTCAATTTAAATTTTTTTCAGTTTTATAAGGCCATTTACCTATATTATGTGATTGTGAAATGATCAAACATAGCCTGCACTCATAGCTATGACAGAAAGAAAACCATTCAGTAATAAACACGCTGAAATAAACAACAATTAGCTGCTTGTGATTAAAATGACGGGAAAAATAATATATTGTAAAGTTTAAAAATATATTTTGATGTATTTATTTGGTGTGTGTGTGTGTGTGTGTGTGTGTGTGTGTGTGTGTGTGTGTGTAGATGCATACATGCTGTGTTACATGTGTAAAGGTCAGAGGGTAGCCTGTAGAGACAGTGCTCTCCTTCCATCATGTGATCACACTCAGGTCAATAGGCTGGGCAGCAAATACCTTAACATGATAAGCCATCTCTCCAGCCATGTGAAAACACTTTTTGAAAGGATAATGTAGACATGTTTAATGTCTTATAAAAAAAATAGTGTGTGGCACTATTTTTGTTTGGGTTTTTGTTTTGTTTTGGATAAAAAAAAGGTTTTGTATGAGCCTGAAACTGACTCCTTGTGGACATTTAAAATAAACATGATTGTAAGAAGCCGGTAGCCAGGCCCATCTTAATGTGGAAATGCTGAGGTACGTGCCAGGGAGGATACGCTGAAGACCTGCAGGCTAAGTCAGCAAAGGTAAGGATGTCATCACTATGATGTTTCACAAGTCCCGAGGTATATGAAAGGCAAAGACAGGGATAGAGAAATCTTGGAAAGGATACAATACATCGATTACCATTTGCATGAAAGGAGATGACAACAAAGAATATTTGTGAGAATAAGAAGAAAGCTTGAAGTACAGGACAAGGAGGCTAAACTTTTTTTTTTCTTTCCCCAAGACAGGATTTCTCAGTGTTGCTGCCCTGAAACTCACTCTGTAGACCAGGCTGGCCTGAAACTCACAGAAATCTGCCTGCCTCTGCCTCCTGAGTGCTGGAATTAAAGGCGTGTGCCATCGTCACCTGGCTCTGAGCACTTATTTTTTTAATATACTTTTTATTTTTATAATGGTAATTAGACCAATTTTAAGTTAGAACAAGCTTCTTTTACATGTCAATCCCAGTTCCCTGTTCCTCCCCTGCTCCTCCACATCCCAACCCCTATCTGCTCCCCCAGGAGGGTGAGGCATTCCATGGGGGAATCTTCAAAGTCTGTCATATCATTTGGAGCAGGGCCTAGACCCTGTCCCATGTGTCTAGGCTGAGAGAGTATCTCTCTATGTGGAGTGGGCTCCTAAAGTCCATTCATGTACTAGGGATAAATACTGATCTACTACCAGAGGCCCCATAAATTCTGAGCACTTATTTTTATTTACTACTGTTGCTGCAATTATGTGTGGTACTAGAGTTAAATCCAGGACCTTCCAGATGATGGGCAAGTGCTCAGTTTCTTAGGTCTACATTGGTTTTGCCTTGTCTTTAGTTCTGTCTCTTCATCTTGAGGATTCTGTACTTGAGCCTACAACATTATACTGGGGGAGATTTGAAGAGATGTTGTGGTCCCTGGACCCGATGCATAGGGGCCAGCCGAAGCCTGCTTACTGAGAACTGTTGAGGATGAAACTGTTTCTTAAGCCTACTGGGTTGTTTCGGTGCATGTAAGTTTTAAGAGGCACTCTCTGGACAAAGTGAGTAAGAACAATTAGCATGTAACACTAAGGACTCACTTGGATTTAGTGGTCTTCACTTCTGTGTGAAAACAGTTATTAGGCCATGTTGGAGCAAGAAGGGTAGAGGGACTGAGTGTGTACAGGGTTTGTTATGAATGATGTGCCATAAATTCTAAGCTGCATCAGAAAAATGAAGACAGGGTGTAGAGGACAGTGAAAAAATGGTAGGGTCAGTGGAGTCAAATGAAGGAAGTCTGACACAGATTGACTGATTCTGATCCCAGGTTCCCCTGCTGTGAACTGCAGCTGCCTAACAGCTGAACCTCATGGTTGTTATGATCATGAGATATGTATGGAAATATCATGTGAACTGTAAAGTGCTTTGTCCTAGTCTGTACCACTCACTGTTTTCCATGCTACTTTCCCCTTTATAGCTTGTATTTTATTCATGAGGTGTAAAGCACCTTGCCTCATAGCAGTGAAAAAAGTACAAATCTTGTGGAAGAATGTGGGAAAGATATTTGTGACTTTTGTAATCACTTGCTTAATAATGAAACACTGTCTTAGAAGTGCAGCAGACTCACACTTCAGGCAGTGGCAGTATTCTGACCAGGAGCACTGTGCCCAGACACAGCCAGTATCATTGTGTTGGCAGAGGTGGGAAATTTTGTTGTATGATGTGTGTGTGTGTGTGTGTGTGTGTGTGTGTGTGTGTGTGTGTGTGTGTGTGTGTGTGTGCTGTGTAGGTTTATTATGATGAAGAATTGACTTAGGTGACTATAAGACTGGGAAATGATAGCAACTTGGAGCCCTAGGAAAGCTGACGGCATAAATTCCCCTTGGAACTTTAGATTTTA